TTATTAGTACGACGGGTTTCATACGGATGTTCTAGTACAGGAATGCTTTCTTTGGTTTTATAATAATATTGACCTACGTTAAACACATATAATTTTTTGATACTTAGTATTTTCGTGTCAAGAAAAAGTAAGTTGGAAGAGTAAGTCATGTCTTTACCAAGCATTATTTTTAGTAGTCTCTTTTGTGCTGTTTGTAGGGGTTCCAGATGTACATCAAAAATACCACCCCAACCAATAATTCCATATGCCAAATGGCTTTCCACAAGGGCATGATATAAAACCTTTAAATCAGTATAGGCCAGTATTTGTTTAAAAAATTTGAATTTGTACATTATAACGCGAATTTTTTTTAAGACATGTTGGATATGCGCGTCCCATTTTAGGTGTTGATCAATTACGATTCCTAAATACTTAATTTTACTTTCTTTTTTAATTTTATGATCGGATTCTTTAATATTTATTTCGTTATATATAGGGAGGTTATAATTATGACATGTAAATGTTAGATAACATGTTTTACTATAGTTTATAGAAAGAAGCATACCATCAAACCAGTTTTTAATATTTACAAAATCATTTTCCACTGTACTTTTAAGGTTTTCCCAGCCATTTGCCTTGTAAAATAGTGCCGTGTCATCCGCGAAACTTATTACGTTTGCGGCACTTGGAACTGAAAAAAGTCCATCCATATATATAGTAAATAAAATAGGTCCTAGTACAGTTCCTTGAGGAACCCCATATTTAATCATCCTAAAATCGCTAAAAGAGTTTTTAATTTTTACACATTGTTGCCTATTATTTAAGTAACTTTCAAAAAGTAAATATGGAGTTCCTCTAATGCCAATGTTAAATAGGATCTTTAAAAGTATTTTGTGGCTAACAGTATCGAACGCCTTAGCTAGGTCTAGAAATATACATAATGATTGACTTCCCTCGTCCAAGCTACTATAAATATCTTTGGTTAATAAGTTAATCGCGTCTTGCGTTGATTTTTTAGCTCGAAAACCAAATTGTGATGGAGATATGAGATTGTACTTTGCAAGGTACTTATCCAGTCAGGAAAAATATTTATTTGGGTTTTTGTCTTATTTTGAGTTGCTTATTCTGCTCCTAAATTTATGCCACTAAGTTTAGGGACACCTTGTATACACATGGGCCACGGGTGGCGCAGTGGGTTAGGCGACTATGCCGAGACAAACTGCGTCCGTAAGTATCGGGTTCGATCCCCGGGTGTTGTGCGCGTTGAAAGTCGGTAGATGAGTCTAACTCATCGAGGACTGTGGTTCGGATTCCACGTTAAACAGTAGGTCCCGCTGAAGAACCGAACCTTATAGGCTTTGCCTGTAAGCTGGATAGGTTGATGGCGTTACTACTCTACTACTTTTTTAATATATACACAATAGTTTTAAAAAATTTCAGTTTTAAAAAAATTTTAATTTTAATTTTTTTTAGAAAATTTTAAATTTCCAAAATTAAAAAAGTATATATTTTAATGTCTTTCTAACATTGTATAGTTGTTCCTACTTACGTACGTATTATGTACTATATGTATTATGTACGTAAAATAATTAGGTAGGTACTTACATGTCAAATTAAACGACTTTGGAGTAATTCTGATAAATATAGTTAAATTTAGAGCGAAATCCTGGTTAAAACAACGTATCTTGTCTAATTGGAGGTTTACGTTCCCTTTTAAAGGAAACGGAACTAATTTTAATTAATTTTAACTTATGCTACATAATACTAAAAAAGTGTCCTGATTAGCTCAAATGGAGATAAAAATAAGACTTGTCTAGTGGGGTGATTGTTTTGGTAAAATACAGTAAAATAATCTAAACACAAGTGTTTGAGATTGCACGCTCTAATTAGCTCATATGAAGGCAAAATGAAAAAACAATTGTTGGTGTTTGAATCTTAAATATAACTCAATATTTATTAATTTAATATTACAAAGTTTCAAAAACTCAAAAGCTTAACATAAATTTACAATTAAAGCAGTCAGAAAATTTGGATTAAATACTTAAAACCAAAATACAATAGTCAGTAAATACCAGCAAGTAATCGGATTAAATACTAAAAACACAATACAACATTGTAGCAAGTAAAATAGTAAAACTAAAATTATACAATATCACCGACCAGAAGGTAAATATTTTTTAATTTAATTTGATTTTTTTGGTTTAATAAAATTGTCCTCCAAATACCACTTGTAGTCAAAAATATAAGTCGAATATTTTGAGGTGTGATAGAGCGAATATTGTTTGTGGTTGAAAATACTACTTTACGAGTACTATTAGTACTACTCGTGCTGCGCACTCTTACTATTCAAAATATAATACAAAAATAATTAAAATAGCACAGCCTGAGAGTTAATTTTTTACTGGTTAATCTTTTTTAATTAAATTATTGGATGCGGAGTGGGGTCCATGCAGTGAAATAACCTCGCAGGAACAGCAACATTTGCCCAAATGTACAGTATTACGTGGTTAACTTCCTAAAAATTTGCTCAATGTGCAAAATTACATTGGAATCTATAATTTGGTTAAACATTACCCCAAACAAAAAACTTGTCTTGAAGCAAAACGGCAAAATGGCCACTTGTTGAATCTTGCTCAAATCTGCATTTAAAAGTCAGTACCTAAAACATCACTATTATGGTGTTACTTTAACAGAAATAACCGAATTAATTTTTATTTACGGATTTAATTCCTGTGCTCTTAGAACCTGGTGAAAAAATTTAGGGAAACCCACAAGATCGATTGTTCTGGATGACGCTGCAGAAAATAAAGTTAACAGTCATTTTTCAGTGGGATTCTCATCCATTTTAAAAGCTTAACAAAAATTTCTGTTGGTTCCATCCATGAGGTGCTAAAAATAAATAAGTTTTTCCCTTATAAAATTCAAATGTGCCAGAAACTCAGCGAAAATGACTACGACAGAAGAATTCAGTTTTGTGAGAAAATGACGCAAAGAATTGCGGATGATCCCAATTTTTTTTTAAATATTTGTTTCAGCGATGAATTTACTTTTTTTCTAAATGGATTTGTAAATAAACACAATTGTAGGTACTGGGACAATTAAAAACCATATGGTTTTTTAGAGGATCATACTCAGTATCCTCAAAAAGATAATGAATGGGCTGGTATTCTTGGCAACGAAATAATTGGACCGCTTTTTATCGAATAAAACTTGACTGGACAATTATTTAGACCTCTGCGTTGTGTTTACTTACTTTTTTTATTAAATGCATTGCTTTAAAAATGATACGTGGGAGAACTAGGTTTATAAGAAATAAAATACAATGGTTTAGTTTACCCCAATTTAATTTACGTTACTTTTTACAAACAAGCAAGGGGTGGCTTCAGCCAAGAAAAAACCCTGGTCGGCTATGAAGTAGCAAGGGAATACGCAGTCAGGAATTGTACTTTAAAAATTACGCAAATTAATGTATTGGCGATATGGCTCGATACTGCATTTAACAAAGATTTAAAACTGAAGATCATTGGTGTTAGTTAGCCGGGCTATGCCCAGAATGTAACGGGGTCCACAAAGGGAGGCCCGCCTATTTTAGTTGAGAGGTCGGAGAAAAGCGATGCAGGCCTAGAGAACCTAGGACAACCTGTTCCCCTCACGGGAGAAAATATTAGTTAGATTTAGACTGACCATAAAACAATGCTTGACCAAGTTATAGAAAAGGTACAGAGTGTTGGGTTAAGCACAAAACAAATTATAATGTTACATTTGAGCAGTACAAGAATTGAGCATAGCAAATTAATAAAATTATAGTGATAGCAGTAAAAGCGAAAATAGGGGTGGTAACATATGGTTAAAAATAACATAAAATACAGCTAAACGTAATAGTAAAGGATAAATATACTCATAATAGCAATAATCATATAATAATAATATAACAATTTAAAAATGCACAATATTACGTTTAGTTAATTTTACTACACATTTAGATAGATTAAATATTTAGAACTAGCCTTGTATAATACACTAACTACACTTTTAACAATGATTTTAGAACAATAATTTTATTTTAAAATTTTACCAAAGAAAACGATCTGTACAGTAACAAGTTCAAAACGCGTCCCTCATTTCTCCTTTTCAAAAACCCTCTTCGATTACCTGTGGTGGAATTTCCCCGGCTAATCTGGTCGCCACATGTTCGCTCCCTCAAGCTCAGCGCATATCTCTTTTGTTGGCTTGACAAATTTTCTACCTAAATTTGCAATTTTGTATGCCTTAAAATAAAATTTTATAACCTAATCCTATTTTAAAATTGAAAAAAATAAAATATATTTATAAACATGTATTCTAATAAATATCTAAAAGAGGTATTTTTACGAAACCATTACAATATACCCATTTATTACCCAGTCGCTAGAAAATTAGATGGATGAACAAGGAAACATGTTGCTTGATGAAGGACATTTGTACTTTCAACAAGATGGAGCTTCTTTCACTATGCTTTACCAGTCAGAGAATGGTTGAATCAAAGGTTTCCCGAGAAATGGATTTTTCTTTGGGTTCAAAAACAAAAGTCTAGAAAACACCACCTGAGAACATTCAAGAACTCAAACGAAGAATATTTCAATAATGTAGGCAGATAACTCGTGAAACGTTTTAAAAAGTTCGACAAGAGTTTGAGAACAGATTGTATTTGCACTGCATGCGAATAAAACACGCACAGCTTCATTAACAAACTATAACTATTTATGCAAAAATATTTTAGGAAAGTTGTTTTTACCTCTAAACCGATTGAAAACCGATGAAAAATGAGACCATCAATTTTTAAGTGGCACCCCTTAACCTTAAGATTAACCGCAAAAGTGGTTTTAGAAAGAAAAGTTTTTAAATTTCAAATAACATCATCAACAACACAAATCCTTGTTATATGTGTTATATAATAATTTTTTATTTCAGGATCATTAATTTTTAAAAAAGACCTTTCCTAATTAAATGAACTGCTGTTACAGTCCGTTATGCTTTTGCAGGTTACGGCTTTATTGGCACTTAGCGAAGGGGCTCAATTCCTGAGTAATGGGCTGCTATACGTCACGGAGAGGCTTCGATTAGGGCCCCATGGGGCAACATCTTTGGTCGTTAGGCTGCTGGTTACCACGCCAGGGACGAAAAATATGACAGGTATGTTAATAAGAAAGTTTTTTTAAATTATTATATATGTTTTAATATTTAGTAAACTGGCCGTAAATTTTCGGTTGGTTTAAGAGTTGTCACCAACTTTTCCAGGGTAATTTGGGTGCGTTGAATACAAAATTATTTGAGAAAATTGAGCATATCATCTAAATTAAAAAAAAAAAATTAATTAACCTAGAAAAATAAATTATACAAGTTTATAATTGAAATCCCTATACACCCCAACATTTTAAATAGTATCCTCTGTCGGGTTTTACCTTATTTCAAAAGTAATGAAAAAAGAAACATCCTTATAAACCAAAACCCGATAATTGTGAATTATTCGCGGTTGACTACCAAATGGGAAAATAAAATATTTTTTCTACTCCCACCTTTAAAACGCCCATTATCGTACATGTTTCACTTTGACAAGTTGTGGCTTTATGGAGTTTTAGTCACAGGCTGAAGTTAGTTTTAAGTTAGTTGACAGTTGTAAAATGTCATACAATCGTTAAAATAAAGTTCCTTTATTAATAATACTAAATGTGAAAATTATTTTATTATCTCAATACAAAAATAAAAAAGTATTAAATAGTTTCTCAACGCCAATATTTAAAAAGTTTATATGAACATTGTATTGACCTTTTAATTTCACCGGTAGTAAACTATAACTTAAATTCGGGCACGGACTAATAGAACATTTTCTTTACCTTCACTGTGAAAAACTGTACATTTTCAAGGAATACATTTCGATTTATAACCTTTATAATCTGTGTTTATAAAATAAAAAAAATTGACATTTGACGGTAACACACAAATTCCCCTATTGTTTCAAATATACAAATATTTGATTTAAATCATTTTAAGATAATAATAAGTATTTCTGGTAGAAAAAGTATAGTATGCACCTCGTTTATAAACTTTTCTATACAATCATTAATTTAAGCACTCGCTCGCAAGCTTGCTCATGCCAAAATTAAATTCGTGTATAAAATGGCGTTTATCAAACTTGATACATAATATAGTTTTATCTACTCCTACATTGACAAGCTGTGACTTTGTTGCATTTTAGTCACGGGCTGAAGTTAGCTTTATTAAAAGTTGCGAAAAAGTGAGGTTAAATTCGTTAAATGTCAAATATTTATGAATTAAATTATTGCTTTAAATTTTTATTTCTGTTCATGGTAGATAAAGTATAGTATGCAACTCGTTTTATAAACTTCTTCGCTCGTGCGTAATAAACTAAAGTAAAATGGGGTTTATAAAACTTAATATATAATACTATTAATGTTTTTATTGTTTTTTTGGACTAAGGAATTTAAAATAAAAAGTAATAATACAAAACATGGATGTTTTTTTGACATGATATCAATTGCTGTGTTTAATTTGCGCCTACGTTTTTACTTTTATTATTAACTTAAACCGAACTTCTTTTCTAAAATTTGCTTTAACTCTAAAAATGGCGCAAAAACATACCGAAAAAGAAAGAATCATTCATTTAATGATTCGTGGCTTTGGGGATAAAACAAGATCTTATGATGAAGTGCGGAATGTCTTCAATCATTTTTTTCATCAACGACCCCCGATTTCTAACAGTAGTAAGAACTGTTTAAAAATTTCAAGAAGAGGGAACTTTGAATGATCTTTCGAGAACTGGCAGACCGAAATCTGCAACAAGTCCAGTAAAAATCCGAAGAAGTGTTACTGTCTTTTATTGAAGAACCTTCAAGTGCCTTATTAAAAGAAAGTCCCGTACATAAAATTAGTAAAACTTCTGTCCACCGAATTTTGAAAAAAAAACTGTTTTTCCTATAAGTTTTACCTAGTTCAGGGATTGAACTAAGGTGACTTCGATAGAAGGTTGAAATTTTGTGAAATAGTACCTGAAAAATGTTATAAATTTTCTTTGGAATAGTGTTTTCTCTGATGAGGGTACTTTCTACTTAAATGGTAAGGATAATAAGCATAATTGTCGTTATTAGGATGACGAAAATCCACGTCTAATAAGAGAAGATGATACTGAAATTGAGTGGCCACCACAATCTCCTGATCTAACCCCAATTGATTTTTTCTTTTGGAGGTTTCTGAAAAGTGTATGCAACAAAACCAGAATCAATACATGATTTGGAAAATCGCATACTTGAAGAAATCATCAAAATTGCATTTACAAGCGTTTGGGTCATTGCGAGATAAATCGTAATAAACGTGTAAAAAACATTAAAACAATTTATTTTCCCACTTGGTAGTCAACCCCTCATAACTCTTAAAAGAATAATATATCGGGTTTCTTTTTTCATTACCTTTAAAAAAAGGTGTAAATCTATTTAAAAATGTGGTCATCCCCTAAAAAATCTCCACGTTGCATGAAAGTTCTAAAGTATCTAAGAATGTAGTTTTTATAATCCTATAGTGATCTCTAAGTTTTAATTTTTTTTTTCTACGCTTATTACGGAATTTGACAGTTCTTATATGACTTTTTAATCTGGAATTACGTATATTCCATTAAAGTGTTACAGAATAATTATTCCGCACATGTTCTAATGATGGAATGAGCACTGGGGGCGACATCTCTATGTTTATTTTATAACTCACTTGTATTCCTACCAAATCTAGTTTTTTCAGAAAGGCCCGGTAGAAAATATTAATCGGTAGTATACAATAGGATTTAAAACAGTTTGCGTTAATAAAAATACCCAATATATATCTTCTTTTCAAGCTAGTTGTAATTCTGTTTGGCCGATTTAGTAGGATTCTATTAGAATATTTAGGTTTGACTTAGTCCCAAAGAGATGGCAGCACTGGTTAATTGTTTAACGAGACGTTAAATAACGCAAAGTATTCCAGTATATGCGCATGCGTCGTATATCCTATATTCTGTTCTGTCTCTCCTCTATCAGGTGGGGGTATTTTGAAACACATGTCATGTATCATGTGTAATGTGTCATTTATTGCGTTTGTTATTTATTGCGAAGTTCGAGTATTTGTCTTTGAAACAAATACTTATGGCAATCGTCTTGAGTGTCAATTGAATGTTTTTGAAAGAAAAGACACCATGCCAGTTATGTGTCGCACTTGTGAAAAAGTGTTTAGCACGCAGTATAATTTAAATAAGCATTCTAAAAAAGTTCATCATGCAATGCCTATAGTGGTGTCCTATGACAAAACGGTTTATAATTACAAGTGCCTGGAAATACATTGTAATTGTTCTTTTCGGCAAAATACAGATTTAGTTTACCATTTGCAAAATCAACACCAAATCGATATACAAAGAGAACAACTGTTTTTCAAGGATTTTAAAGGTGAGCCCTACTATATAGTCATAGTTAATAGCACGTAGTCACTACTTTTCAATCCTCATCCTTTTCTTACTTGTAAAAATTGGTTGTAGAATTTAGTGCATGGAAGGAAGAAGTAGAGGTAAAAGAAAAATGTAACTATATTATATCCCGAGGGAAAAGAGTGACCAGCTCAGGTGCAGAAATATCATATTATATTTGTAATAGATCAGGAGTAAGATCAGGTACTTTAATAATGCCTAATCATTAAAGTTTACATTTAGCTATAGCAAAGCTTTTACCAGTTTAAACACATTAGGTACCTTTTAATTAGAATCCTTAATTTATGAAAAAAATTCCACCCTGCAATTTCTAACTTGTTGTCCTATGATTTTAGAAAAAACTCCAAGAAATAAAATTGACGCAAAACGTCTTACCAAGTCGCAAGGATCTTGTAAATCAGGTCAGGCTTGCATCAGTCAAATAACTGTGCAAAATAATGGAAATGCCAACATAGAGGTTACGAGGCAGAAAACTCATTATGGGCATAAAGTACAAATTGAACATCTCCGCCTTTCAACTGGGAATCGAAAAGCAATTGCTTCAAAAATTATAAATGGGGCATCAAAAATTAAGTAATTATAATTTTTTTTTCAATTGTCATTTGCCATTTAACTTGATTTTTTTGCAGAGTCCTGGATATGAACAGAAATAAAATAGGCCATGAAGTTAAACGAGCTGACCTATTGACTCTTCAAGATATTAAAAATATTACAAGAAGTTTTAAACTTGAAATAGTAAATGGAGTTAAACATGTGGACGATGCAACTAGCATAGATTTGTGTGTCAAAGAATTTCAGTGTAATGAAACAGAAGACAATCCAGTATTAGTCTATAAGAAGCAAGGAGATGTGTCTGAAGGCTTTGCTGTTAATGACTTTTGCTTAATTTTAATGAATAGTTATCAAGAACACATGCTAACTGAACATGGAAGTAATAGAATAGCAGTAGATTCCACACATGGACTGAATCAATATGACTTTGAAATGACAACAGTTTTAGTTGTTGATGAGTTTGGAGAAGGGTTTCCAGTTGCTTATTTATTTACTAACAGAAAGGATACTTACGTTCATACAGTATTTTTTGAAAGTATTAAAAGTAGAGTAGGCATCATACAAGCTAGGACGTTTATGTCTGATATTACTACCGTGTTCTATAACGCTTGGATGCTTGTTATGGGGCCTGTCTCAAACCAATTATTTTGCGCCTGGCACATTGACCGTGCTTGGCAGAAAAATCTTTCAAAAATCAATATAAAAGATAAGCGAGAATGGGTGTATAAAACAAAAAAATCTTTCAAAAATCAATATAAAAGATAAGCGAGAATGGGTGTATAAAACACAAGTTTTGCAAAGTAATTTGGACCCTGACACATTTAAAAATCAACTTGAGACAACTTTAAACAAATTATTGGATGATGCAGACACTAGAAATTTTGGATTATATTTTAAGGAGAATTATTGTAATAATTTTAAACAATGGGCCATGTTCCATCGTAAAGGGTGTGGAATAAATACAAATATGAGATTGGAAAGTATGCACAAAGTAATTAAATATCTCTATTTAAATAAGAAAAAGGTGAAACGATTGGACAAGGGATTGCATGCCGTCTTAAAATATACACGAGACAAAATAGTGGATAGGCTTATCAAACATACTAAGGGAAAATATACA